CAAGTTAAATCACATAATCTTTATTTCGTAGGTCAGCAAATTACACTGAAACGGTTCATTGATTTTGTGTGTTTATGTGACAATGTGGCCAAAGATGTTACGCAATTGTAATGAGACCCCAAACAGACGCTGTACTCTATTTATTTCTCTTCAAGATACTTCTTCTTATCGTATCGATAACATACATTTTAATCATTGCCACCGGAATTAAACGGTTACCAATCGGCGTAAGGTACTTGCTGATTGTTGCCATGGGTGCGCCTGACGTACAGCAAAGGCCTAGTACGTCGTGTGAGGAGGCTCCTGTCGTGCACCCCAAGGCGCTTTACAATGGCGTATCATTTATATTTTTTGTTTTACTAACTTATGAAGTCCTCTGAAGAACAAAACATCGCTCATTCCCGCCTCTTTTTGTCCACCAAAATTCATAATCTTTGTTATTTTTCTTTGTATTGTCATTACAAAACAAAGAATCTCTCCATTTTGTTATTTTATTTATACAAAAATCACTACGCGATGGTCTAGTAAGTGCCAATTTAAGTACTAATAATATCCTTACATTGCTTTCGAGAAACAGAGATCACCATCAAAAAGGATGAAGCAAAGCTTTTCATAGTAGTTCCGTTTGGAATGGCTAGCAAATCAATAACATAAGAATGGAGACTTTCTAGTAGACCAAAAGACGAACGGTGAAGGTGGAACCAAGTAAATTGTAAAGATCCTACGCCCTCTTCGAAATGTATAGAATATATCCGATAAAATATTAACTAAATAACGGATAACTCACAAATTTATTTCGAATTTTCAGTCCTGACGTTCAGTCCTTGTTCCTGAATCATGAACTTCTGCGGCGGCGGTGACTCATTATTAAGGTCTATGGACTGGTTTGAAACATGCAAAGCAAAAGTTAGACTTAAATACAAATATGGCCAGTTTTCTGCGGTGATTGTGACTTAGAAACTTCGACTCCACAAAAGAGTCGTTGCCAATTAGTCTCTTTGCTTTTCAGTCTGCCGAGTCAAAAGAAAGCAACTAACTGGTGTCGGGTAGAGCCGCCCTGTATGTCACGGCAATGCTTTATACACAACCGAACTTGAGCTTGCACTATACAATTGTATTGAACTCCGATTTATGGTGATGATTCTTTTTTGGTTGGAAAGAGGGTACCTCTATAGTGGTCCTATTTAAAATTTAAGAATATATTCGACCTCCAAATGGTGGCCCAACAATTTGAATAAAACTTGGCAAATAGATGTAATTGCACGAACTTTTGAGGTCGGTTTTTTTAGTACTCTGTATTGAGATCATAGCAACTATTATTTCCCTTATACAATACAACATCATTAACCTTATTTTGTTTACTGACTATACTTTTATCGGGAGGGGGAGCCATAGCACAGGACTTACCTAGTTTGGGATTCTGTCTCCCATATCTAAGCTCTATGCTCAATCATGTACTTATATTTTGTACTTGTAAGGAGATAATAAATGATGCTATTCTATTATTATTATTGTCGCGTTCGCACCGTCTCGCCTAGCGTCTGTAAACTGGAAGAATGAAAGAACTAAAAAGATAGGTGAATTATTAAAGCGCCTTGCATCTGGGGCTCCGCAAAGAGGTATTATGAACTATTAAGATAGTGCACAAGGAATTAATTCCTTTCGGTCAGTGTCAGAGATTCATTCCTAATAATTATTAGTTTATAAACTACTCAAGTAGTGGATGTTAACAGGCTGAGATGAATGAAAATGAAAACAGCTCAAGCTTACTTAAAAGTCAGCTTAACTTTCATCGTTGAAAAGTTAATTCATGCACATACACATTCAAACCCTCGTTTCTAAACTTCAGAAACTGAAATATAGAAAAACTGTGTTATCTATATAATACAAATAATTGTATAAAATTTTATATGCGCTTTTGAAACTCAGGCTGCCTTTCGATTCAGGCCATTCGATATGGTTTTCTAGTCCATTCTCTGAAATAGTTGAAGTATTTGACGTTTCATGCTGAATCACTAAGTTCAAGATATTTTACCTATCATACTTGTGCAAATTGGCTTTAAAAAAAGGTTTAAAGTTTAAATTAATGTATGCAGTCGATATTATATTCAATTGCATCACAATTAGTAGTATCTCGTTAGTTACCAAGTTACGCTACACTGATTTCAATTTCTTGGAAGTCTGAACTAGGAAATACTAATGAGTAAAGGTTGGAACTCACTTGTCAACATGCAGCAGCACTGCTTTTAAGCTAAATGGGTTTGTTACTATAAACATTTGTTATGTATGGACATACTCATTAATACCTTAGTTAATGATCTGTTATTATAACTTTCTTTTTTAAATTATCTGTACACTACCGAGACCGAACTCCTGCCAGAGAGGTTATGGCTAAAAATCAGTGCTATTCAAACCAATCTGCGTCTAAATAATCTCAGTACAGAGTACTAAAAAAACCGACCTCAAAAGTAAGTGGAATTACGTCTATTTGCTAAGTTTTATTGAAATATCCCCTACTTCGCCACTATACAGTACTTGACACTGGAGATAATAAAAATCGGATCTCACTACTCAAAGTATTGGAAAAATAGCAAAATCAACCATTAAAGTAATTGCTCCTAAATTAAAGTTAGGCGCTATTTATAAAAATGAATCTCCATGCGTGAACAACCACCCTTCGAGGTGGATGCTTTTCTTCAAAATAAAATGGGACCACTATTGAAGTACCCCCTTTCCAACAAAAAAAGAATCAGAAAAATCGGTTCACGAATACCGGAGTTATCGCGTAACATACATACAAAAAAAAAGAACATACAGACGAATTGAGAACCTCCTCCTTTTTTGAAATCGGTTCACAATACAGCATGTAGAGTTCAGAAACCGAAGTTATAGTATATAATTTAGAATATGATAGTGCTGTAGCGTGTAGACAAGTAGGACCCAACCCTAAATTCGCAGAGACTTAATAAAGTTTTCGAAATTAATTATGTTTTCTTACGTAATTGATGAAGTGAGGAGTCGCAGTGCTCTAATAAGTTTCTATTTTTGTTTATACTTAGATTCTTCCGGCATTGGTACACAACTTTACTATTACAAAAATGTTAGATAGTATACTACTTTATCTAACGTGTTAACATTAATATATATCTACACATAAATTTAACAGTAAAGAAAAACAATGATAAAGCCTCCAAGAGGGTTCATACCGTTTTTGGATTAAGGTGTGTTTAAAGCGTAAAACATACAGATAGCGGGTGCGGGTCGGGCGCGGTTAGGGTTGGAACCGCGTCTGGTCTAATTCCATGTATTTATATGGACGACAACACACCAAAAGCGAGCGAGTGCGTCCGTCTCACACCCGCGCTCGGTGTGTTATCGTCCTATAAATACACGGAATTAGACCCACCGTGTTCTCTACCCTACCCGCGCCCGACCTGCACCCGCTCTCTGTGTGTTTCACGCTTACCCGCTGGATTTTAATGGATATACTAGGCTTTAGTAACAGTAGAGCTCCTTGTGAAAGAGTTCATATAGAAAAGTACTGCCATCTTACGTATACCTGCTGTCAAGGCTTGAAGGGTAAGTGTACTGATGAAATTACAGACACATAGAACTTGTCAACGGCTTAAGGTGACGGGCGCAGTAACAGTGGCCCTAAGATCTTTGCGAATTTAAAGCCTGCAACTGTGTAGTGTGGTGTGGTGGCTGCTACAACAAAGTGGGACTGCAACTGTTCGTTGCAACAATTTCCACGACTCGTTCGTAACGTCATTTAGTATTATAAAAAAAGAAAAACTCAACCGGAAGTCCGACATAACCACGCCGCTCCCCCGAGTGGTATGCGTAACGCAATTCCCAGCGTGAAAAAGGTTAAGTTGGACGACCTTGAAGATGTCGTACAATATCGCACATTTTTTTGTTGAACGTACTTTGTGAGGAAAGGACGTATTTTGGCCGCGTAATGAGGGGCAAAAGATACTGGACTCTTCAACTAATAAAGCAGGGAAAAATAAAGCGTAGTCGTGACAGAAGGAAAAACTGGAGGATGAAGAATCTGAGAGACTAGTTCCATCTTAGCACATGTTTCCTCTTTCGTGGGGCAGCTTCAATGTTGAAAATAGCCATTATGGCCACCAACCTTCGTACAGAAGCGGTACACTACGAAGAATAAATACTTCGTGAAAATCTTAAGGTACTACTAGCTATGCTTTGGCAATCTACTAAACCGCAAGGAACACCATGTTTTTTTTAACTAACAACAAGAGGTTCTCAATTCAATTCGACTGCGTGTGTGTGTGCCTGTGTGTGCGTGCGTGTGCGTGTGCGTCTCTCTCTCTCTCTCGCTCTCTCTCTCTCTCTCTCTCTCTCTCTCTCTCTCTCTCTCTCTCTTTGTGTGTGTGTGTGTGTGTGTGTGTGTGTGTGTGTGTGTGTGTGTGTATGTATGTGTGTGTGTGTGTGTGTGTGTGTGTGTGTGTGTGTGTTCTAACCGATTTCAATGTAATGCCACAGACTTAAAACTTCTTAGGTTTTTTATTTTCGTAATAAAATTATTGTTTGCCATTACAACAAAAGGATACTTGACGCGGAAAAAGAAATTTTACATTGTTGGTGAACCACATTTGTACCGAAATAAATTTGGCTAGTCCAATCGCAATGCTAAGATATTACAAAAGTAGATTTCTTTACAAAAGTGGATTTAGACAAAATGCAATACTTATTATAATAATTATGCGGGGGCATTGTCCGCGTCGTTGTCGTGTCTACATCACGTGCGAAAAGGTAATTTTAGAACAATAACCTAACCCAAATAAAATAAAGCTACAACAAACATTTGAAAACTTTTTGCAAAACGACTGAGGAACCATTCCGGTTACACAATAAAGTAAATTATATGTCTCGTTGCTGGTAAATTACACAAAAAAAGAAATATACTGGTGACATTCGCCATTCAAATGAATGGCGAATGTCAACTGTCAAAATTCATAGTGAAGGTTCGCTGAGCCCGTAGCGTATCCACATTTTTTGTTGTTTGTTTTATTAATTATTATATAATATAACTGAAAATTTTAATAATGTTGGCCAACGACGAAAGCTATAATATGCTTTTAGGTGATGGACAATCAAATGCTTCGCATCCACTTACATCATATCTACCACCAAAGGAAAAAGATTCTCATATATCTATTGATGATTTATCGGATATAGATATCACGTTGATGACCTTGAGAAAACCAACAGAGCTCAAAAAAGTTATAGATTCCGTTCCAAAGCCTTCAAGAGCTGTACCCAAAAATGGTCTACCATATTGGTTCCGGATGGGACTGGAGAGCAAGCTACCTGTGCCTAAAATGCCTGTTGGCAAGATTATTTTTTCACGAGGCAAAATTGGAGAGGATGTAAGTAATACATACTATAATTTGTTCGTTTTTGTACCGAAGTAAATTATAAAGCCCACTATCGAATACGAATAGAGATATGTATTAATGACAAATAGTATTTCTAAATAGACGATGTTAAAATAGTATAATCCAATTGCTGAATAAAATATCTTAAAGCAATTACACTTAGGGACTTTTAGCAGCGATGGATACCTTTACACACGCGCGCAACTTTAACTTTTAGCGGTGATGCAAACGCGATACTAACGCGATGCACGTTTTAAATTAATTAAGTTATTTATTTATTTCATGTATTTAATAATTTCACTTTTAAATGTACAATTAAGAAAACAAAATAATGTGCATAAAGCTATGTATCGAAGCAGTCACGCGTTTGCATCGATGCAATCGTGCGTTTGTATCGATACAGTTGCCTATAAGTCACAAGTGTTTGCATAGCTGCTAAAAGTCGGCATGTGAAACCACTCTTACAGGATAATTGGCCTTATAATTTATAACAATCCTTACTAGGTAACGATAATCGAATAATGCCTTGTAATAGTCGTGACATCATAGAGTACTAAGCATATGGTAACTAGAGGACATAGTTTAGTATTACCGGTATAGATTTTCAGATTTCAATAAACGATTCACTAGTTAAACGCAAAAAATGGTAGACATCATTATATCCAATCTCAAGGTACCACGATTTCGTTTAACTAAGGTAAACGATTCTTTTATGGGAAACTGTATACGTTTTTTACAATAAAATTTCGGAGCATATATTATATTAAGATTATCATCTCCTAAGTTAAAAGTATTTTTATTGAAAAGTCATATTACAAAGTTGAAGACTAGATACGTGTTAGATAAAAATGTATGGAAAAACGACTTGACTCTAGATTGCACACAATGATTCAAAGGGTATTTATGAATACACATATTTATTTGAAAAGAGCAATCCCTAGAGTTTCTTGCTCGTTCTTGTCAGGGAAGTCAGCACAGTGAATGAGCAGTAGCTTAAAAAATCACGTGCTCTGGTGTGAATGTTTTTTACCTATGGAATAAAGAATTACGTATTGACTTGTGATCAGTACTGCAAGATGTAATTGGCTTGCCAATCAATCCACGAAAAAGTACCTTGAAACTACTACGCAATATAGGAAGAAGAATAAATATACCTACCGTTATAAGAAAGCTATGATCGTGGTAACCATTAGCCGGTATTGCCATACCGGTACACATGATTTTATTATATTGACACTTCAGAACAGAAAAGGCGTAAACGCCGATAATAATTAACTCATTTTTCATTACTTCTTAAATTGTTACGCCCTTTTGATCAGTGTGTTCAAAGTTATTTGCCAAAAATTTATTTTTACATAAATGTAGTTATTAGAATAAAAAAGATATGGAACCAAAACGTAATTCGTACCTTTATATTTAAACTTTACTTCTTTCGTATCTATTCCAACAGCGGCTGTAACTATTATTTTTTAACCGACGTCAAAAAAAGGAGGATGTTCTCAATTCGACTGTTTTTTTTTTTGCCTCGGTGGTAGTCCCATTTAAGTTTGAAGAAAGTATTCCACCTCTAAGGGTGGCAAAGGGGATGAATCCGGAATTCGCGCACTTCCCGATAACCGATTTCAATAAAACTTGGCACATAGATGTAATTCCACGTCCTTTTGAGGTCGGTTTTTTTAGTACTCTGTACTGAGATTATAAGAGAACATATTATTTGTTTGTTTGCCAGCAAAAACGAAACTGAGCAATAAGTGGGAAGGTATTTTACGATACCTATACTAAAACCCTTCACAGATAAGAGCTTACGTGTTGCGAATTTACAAAACACTTTGCTTCGTAGGTAGATAAAGCAACATTTTTTTTTAAATTTCGAAGGCATTTAGATTATATTTAGACCTACGTATATTTTAATGCTGTAAAGAGAAATTCTGGAAGTTTGTATATTATGGCATTTTACAAAAATTTTACGTAGCGGAAACTCACAAATCAAAGTGTTAGCGAATTTTCTAACAAATTCATTCCTTCATCAAAAAGTAAGTAACCCCTTTTAACATGTAAATACAGTTCTTCTGGGAATTCTAATAAGGCTCTATTTAAAACGTTTATCATGCAAATGTAAAGACATGAATGATAATAAACGCAGAATTTTCGTCGTCGTAAATCAAACATTATATTGGCGGCGTTTGTCGGGTGTTAAAATCTTAGTATAGAGTTTAGTGTTTGGAGTGAAGCGGCAGCGTTACTTAATGGTGGCACTTCACATATCGTCAACCCATTTATACGTCATACTGCTGGGCACAGGTCTTCTCTCAGGCGAGGGTTTTTAGGCCATAATCCGCCACTCTGGCGCAATGCTGATTGAGGACTTGTTTTCCGAAGGTTGTGAACTTTCTTCGATGCGCAGGTTTCATTCACCACGTTGTTTGATTTCCCCGAAAAGCTCATGGTAAATTCCAAATTAATTACGCAAATAAATTTCGAAAAACTCAGGACTTTCTGCTGGAGACGCGCCCTTCAGTACAATTGGTCTCCAATCCCGATCGGTCGAAGGCGGTAGAAATAGAAATAGAAACCAATTATATATAATATATACGAGTATAATACACATGCATTTTATAATAGCAATAATACTGATAAATGTGATAATAATAACAACAAGGAATTGGAACTAAATTCATACATATATACAATACAAAGCGTGTGTGCTGTGCTGCCAAAGAAACCGTGACCCACTCAGCATGTTGCCGTCTCACTTAAAGTACCTACTACGATGATGATTACTATCATCCTTCAGCCTATCATCCGTCCAGTACCTACTGGTACTGGACGGATGGTAGGCTGAACGGTAAGTCAAACCATTAGGCAACTACGGTTTTTTTACACGGCACGTCGCATGGATATCTGTATTTGTGTATTAGATATATTCGGCAAACAATCACCATATGTATGACAAAGTATTTGCCCTATTCGACAAATAGGGCAAACACTAAACGCAATAATTCGCATGCTTGTCGGTTTCTAATTGCACATCAAAGGGGTCAAAAAGGCAAATTCGCAAGTAAACCGTCCACACTGTAGACATATTTAATATTTTAACTGCATATTGGGCTCCATGTGTAGACGATCATACTGCCTGTCCTTTAACTAAAACGCGGCGAAGTGACAAAATATTTTTTTGAGATATCATATAAAACCATAACCCAGTTTTAGAATATCGAAATTGTTTAATCACATTGCAGCTATGCATCGTCAGGGTAAATTCCACTAATTCTGACTGTTTTTAAAAGAGAATTTTGTGCTCTATGTTTTGCTATTTAAAACAGTTATTTGACCATTTGTTACTTAGCCGCATTTTATTTAGTGGACAGCAGTATACTTGACAGTATCTGCATATTTATATTTCCAAGTACTACAAACACCCAATAGCTAATACGAATAGCCACCATCAAGGCGGCACTTCACGTAACTATTTGTGGATTTCATATATTTGGCAAACAATAACCATGTGCAGATAGTATTTGTGACAAACTATTTGCCAATTCGACAAATATAGTAAAGACCAGTCTTAGTAGCAGTGGTGCTCCTTGTGATAGAGTTCGTCCAAGCAAGTACTGCCATTTTACCTATTTCTGCTGCCAAGCAGTAATGTGAGTATTACTACGTTCCGATTTTTAAGGATAAGGGTGCTGGTGAAATTACAGGCAAATGGGACTTGTCAACTTGTCTCATGGCGACGAGCGCAGTGGCAATGCCCCTCAAATCTTTGCGATTTAAAGCTCGGAGTGGGACTGCAACTGCTATAGATAGACGTCTTGTCACTTGGTGTCATAAAAAAAGATTCGTATGTACTTATTGTCATTGTCATAATTTTATATTATGACGACATTTTTCTGTGAGAGCGGATTACACGCTCCATTGTCGCGGGTTGACTGAATTGTTGGTTGTTTGGTCTTGGTCACTCATCTCGTTAGACCCGACCCACGTTCATAAAGTTAGCTTCAGAAATATTTTGCCACATGATTTTTATATTTCGTAGTTTGGTGTCCATACAGATAATATATGTATTTGGTGTGTAGATAAAACATTTTAAGATAAAAATCCCCTTATTTTACTTCGGATAATACCTTTTCAAGGTTTACAAAAAATTATCGAATTCCCATGAAATTTTTAAGCCCGTGTCAATTTGATACTATAGAATTTATTGAAAAATAAAACACCACAACCTTAGTTTCGGGATTGTACCTACAAATTTTGAGTTTGCTTTTGTATACAATATAGAGCCAAACTTCATTTAATTGGAGGTGCTCTCTTGACGGTATGCCTTTAAAGCTATAGACATTTACTTAGTGATTTTGAATTACCGTGTAATCGAAACTTAACTTACTTTTTATTTTTAATTATATGTAACATTTTTCAGTACAGAGATAAGGATTTACGTTTTATATTTTTCCGTAGTCATTATGAATCGGCATTACAATTCAAGGCAACTCTTGGAGTGAATACATTCTTCAGAAATTATACAGTTTTGTAGATTTGTTTTCTATTAAAACTAACACAATTTTCTTGATAAGTCGCTTGCAATATATTCGACTTGTCACGTACGCACGTAATTTCGCGTCAGTAATGTCAGCTGCGTTTTTTCCACTACTAACTTCATAATTTTTCTATTACACCTGCTATCGCTTGTAACTGATAAATTAGCCTAGTTGTTTGAAAACTAGTTTAATAAGATTACCTTAATCATAACGTACATAATGAAGTCATCACTAATTAATGTGCATATAGGCTATATGACACATTTTTTTATCATTGGGAAAATTGCGGGGATTATCGTGTACGTGTGTAATTATGATGTTAAGTTTATGTAATTGTCTTCTATTCAGTTGGATACGAACCAACGTCTCCCAGCAAACAGTGCCCGACGCAATGCCAACTAAGCTTCTAAGTGGATCTTTGTTTAATAATTATAACAAACTAGTGGAGTAATTGCA